CAGGTCATCTGGCCGTTTCGAAACGCTGGCGGGGGAAGTCATGCCGCGCCTCCTAAGCGGCGCACTATCCAGTGCGCCACCGGGCCGGCCCCTAAAATAATTTTTTTAAAATAAAATTTATTGGAACTTTTTTGTGACCTAACATATGGTCTATTCTAGAGAATGTTCCATGTGCTGCTGAGAAAAATGTGTATTCTGCAGCTGTTGGACAAATTGTTCTATAAATGTCCATTAGGTCTAATTGGTCTGGAGTTGAGATTAATGCTGATATTTCTTGGTCAGTTTTCTGTTTGAATGATCTGTCCATTGTTAAAGGTGGGGTATAAAGCCCCCAACTATTATTGTGTTGGAATCTGTTTTTCCTGTTACGTCTAGTAATATTTGTTATATATCTGGGTGCTTCAGTATTGGGTATGTATATATTTAGAATTGTTATATCCTCTTATTGAACTGATCCCTTTATCTTTGTATAATGTCCTATGTTTTTTTCTTTTCCTTGGCTTGAAGTCTGTTTTATCTGACATAAATATAGCTATTCCTGCTGTTTTTTGATTTCCATTTGCTTGAAATATCTTTTTTCATCGTTTTACTTTCAGATGTGTGTCCTTATATGTTAGGTGAGTTTCTTTTAAGCAGCATATTGTTGGTTTTTGTGTTATAATCCATCCATTTAGCTACTCTGTATTTTAATTGGGAAATTTAGTCCATTAACATTTAGAGTTATTATTGATATATAAAGACTTGTTACTGCCATTTTGTTACTTTTTTTCTGGTTGTTTTGTAGATCCTTTTTTCCTTTTTTCTGGTCTTTGCTGTCTTCCTTTATGATTAAGTGATTTTCTCTAGTAGTATTTTTTTTTTTTTTTTGTCCTTTTTGAGACTGGCCGCACCACACTCAGCCAGTGAGCACACCGGCCATCCCTATATAGGATCCGAACCTGCGGCGGGAGCGCTGCTGCGCTCCCAGCGCCACACTCTCCCGAGTGCGCCACGGGCTCAGCCCTCTAGTAGTATATTTTGATTTCTCACTATTTATTTTTAGTATTTTTATTATAGATTTCTGTATTGTGGTTACCATGAGGCTTATAAAAACATATCATAACAGATTATTTTAAAGTAATATCAACATAACTTTAATTGATAAGAAAAAAGAAAAAAACAAAGCCATCTCTATTCTTTGACATCAGTCCCCCCACTTTTTGACATTTTGTTGTTTCAAGTTACATCTTTTAATATTGCCTATCTCATACAATTGTTGAATTTGTTATAATCTTGTTGGGTTTGTTGTTTAGTCTTCATAGTAAGGATATCAGTGGTTTATTCACCACCCTTATGACATTGGAGTATTCTGAGGTTGTCTGTGTACTTAATTTGCTAATGAATTATGTACATTTGAATGTTTTCTTGCTACTCCTTAGCATCATCTTCTTTCAGATTGAAGAACTCCCTTTAAGAATTTCCTGTAAGTCAGGTCTAGCGTTGATGAATTCCCTTAGTTTCTGTTTATCTGAGAAATACTTTATTTCTCTTTCATATTTGAAGGTCAGTTTTGCTGGATACAGAATTCTTTGTTGACAGTCTTTTTCCTTCAGCACTCTGTATATATCATCCCACTTTTTCCTGCCCCGTAGGGTTTCTGCTGAGAAATTAGCTGAGAGATGTATTAGGACTCTAGAGCATTAAATGTTGTGGGTTTTTTTTTTTTTTTTTTCTCTTGCTGCTTTCAGTATTCTTTCTTTGTCTCTGGTTTTATGATATGTCTTGGGATATTCCTTGTTGAGTCTGATTGGCGACCTCTGAGCTTCCTATACCTGGATGCTGCCATCTTTCTCCATACGTAGAAAATTGTCAGCTATTATTTCCTTAAATATGCTTTCCAGGTCTCTTCCTTTTTTGTCTCCTTTGGGTACACCACTTATGTGGAGGTTATTTTGCTTAAAGGAGTCCCATAATCGCTGCAATTCTTTTTACCTTTTCTTAATCTCTTTTTCTTTCTGCTTTTCTAGATAATTTCATATGTTCTGTTTCAAGCTGATTCTTTGATCATGTCTGCTGTTGGAACTTTCTGTCGAGTTGTTTTTTTTTTTTTTTCCTTTTTCCTTTTTGTCTTTTTTCGTGTCCGGCAACGGATCGCAACCCTCAGTGTCGCGCCCATACCGGACCGGGACCGGCAACGGGATCGCAACCCTCGGTGTTGCACCCGCACCTCGCTCAGCCAGTGAGTGGGAACCGGTCTGTATGTGGGATCCGAACCTTCAGTGGGAGCGCCGCCGCGCTCCCAAGCGGCGCACTGTAGCAGTGCGCCACCGGGCCGGCCCTTCTGTCGAGTTTTTCAGTTTAGATAACATATTCTTTATTTCCAGAACTTCAATTTGGTGGGTTTTTAAAAAATGATTCTACTACTTTGTCAAGACCTTGACAGTTTTGAAGGCCAGTTATTTTATTGCATGTCCCTCCATTTGGGTTTTTCTGATGTTTCCTCAGTAGATTCAGGTATGTGTCTTCCATCATCTTAATCCATCCTTTCGGGTAGCTTGGAATTTTTCTTTGTCCCATTGCTGATGATGTTAACTTTGATCACTTGATTAAGTTGATGTTTTCCGGGCATTTGCACTGTGAACATCCTGGTAATTAATAAGTATTTGGGAAGGATATTCTGAATCTATTTAAATATCTTTTCCTCATCCAGTGTTTTATTCACTTATTTGTTTATATCTGTCTATACAGATATAAACATGGTTTCCTAATTTATTCAGTGGGTTATATATAACCTGTTACTACTTATTTTGATGCTCAATTTGTGCCTGTTGGGCTGGCTTTATCTCCTGGTGTGTCCCTGTCGTGCTTTCAGTACTTCCTTGCTCTGGTACAACAAGATGATATGCCTTGTCTTATACTCTCCACACCCGATGCCTAGAATTGGCCGTTTCCTCAGGGAGCCCTGGCATCTTTGGAAGAGTCAAGATCTGGGTGATAGGTGTGTTCATTACGATGGGGTGTCACTGCTCCCCAGCTGTTCTCCATGACGGAGTCAGGGAATGTGTAAACAGTCACAAGTTTACATTTTATGTTTATTTCTATATCTATGCATGTGTGTTGAAAACCCTGAGTCCACACTAGTACCCCAGTTCCAGCTCAGTACCAGTGGGTTCAATTCTAGTTTTCTGTCTCTTACGCTTGCAACTCCTTTCTCTTTTGGTAGTAAACCTGGATCCCATTATCCCTAAGACAGCGACTCAGCTCCTCCTCCTGTGTATAACCCATGTCCTGTTGCTGCCTGTGCCCTTTCCCTACATGGACCCTCACCTCCTCTGGGCCACCCCCGAGGGGATGCCCTCCTTGCTCTTGTGGACTCTGATTCACCCACCGGTCTGCGCCTTTGCTGCAGCATCCTCCTTGCTGTGCTTGTGCTCTGATGCCCACCCACTGGCTGTAGGACTGAAGCATTGAGGGTGGGGCGAGGCAGGGTATAGTATAGGTGCAGGGCATAGGCACTGGGTCACACAGACACCCCACTTTATGGAGTAGTGCCTACTGTCTGCATGGCACCCTGAGAAGTCTTTCTGGATTTGTCAGGACTAATGATGTCTCCAGAGAACATAAACATAAATTTCCTATCCCAGTCGTGAAGTGACCTTCCTTTTAAGGTGGTATTTCATGGTAGGGGTCCAGCATGGTATGGTGAAAAGTATATGATTCTCCTGAATGATGAATCTTATGTCTAGCATATGAATAGAAGGAACTGCATGTTCCTTTAACAACAGATTTTGTTTATCTGAAAACTCATTTTTTCTCCTCCATTTAACATGCAAAAGTGATTTGGGTTGTTAGGGATATTACCAACTGTTTTTATATTATTTGTTCTGATTGAAAACTGTTGCAACTGCATGTGTAGTCCTGTGAACTACTAACACTGTTGGATTGTTAAGGCCAGAGTCTTGTGTTCCTCTCCCTGGAAAGGGCATGTTGGCCAGCAGAAGCTATGCAGAGTCCCGAAGCATTCTTGCCTCCTGGGATGTGTGAGTAGATGGTATTCACATCTAGGTCACACATGAAGTTGACATTCAGAGAGGTGACCATCAGCACCCAGTTGGATGATCATGAACATTGACATTGTTTGTGAGGGGAAGACATTGGCAGTTGTGCATGCATTACTCCTGGTGTACAAGTTATTATTTCAAATTCACTTCATTTAGGTGAAGTTTATACATGGGGCGACAATGATGAGGGTCAACTAGGAGATGGAACAACAAATGCCATCCAGAGGCCTCGGTTGGTAGCTGCTCTTCAGGGTAAGAAGGTCAACCGTGTAGCCTGTGGCTCAGCACACACCCTCGCCTGGTCGACCAGCAAGCCCGCCAGTGCCGGCAAGCTCCCTGCACAGGTCAGTGTTGTGAGGGCAGGTGGGCAAGGAGGTGAGCATGGTGTGACCAAGTCACTGCCCACATACTGAGTCATTCAGGTACAGCTACACATGCTTCATTATTTATCACCTTTTTACAGAGGTATCTCACTGAAAGTAATTCAGGTTCATACTATTAGAAAACAGTGCTTTTTAAGAACCTTGGGGCCGGCCCGGTGGCGCGCTGGAGAGTGCGCCACTTGAGAGCGCGGCGGCGATCCCGCTGCGGGTTCGGATCCAATGTGGAGACTGGTTTCTGCTTGCTGGCTGAACGCGGTGCGGGCGCAACAACGAGGGTTGCGATCCTGTTGCTGGTCCCCGGTACGGGCGCAACACTGAGGGTTGTGATCCCGTTACCGGTCAGTAAAAAAAAGACAAAAAGGAAAAAAAAAAAAAAGAACCTTGATATTCATGCCAGCCAAAGTTCTGTATATGTCCGTTTGTCACCTTTTATTCTACACCTCATAGACCACGTAGAACTATGCTTCACGTGTTTCTTAGTAAATATGTTTCCACGGACTGATTTTTTTAGCATTCTCCTTAACTCACATTACTCGGTGCAAACAGTCAAACTGGCCTCAAATTTATTCTAAAAGCAACACAGTGAGGTTTTTCAAACCAAACTCGAAAATCATAGTGATTGTTTTTGAAAAAAATATTCTCAGAATTCATTTACAAACTGTTGCTTATCTGTGTAGTTGATAGTGACATTGACTTAATGCAGTTTCCATGTTTCAGGTCCCCATGGAGTACAATCATCTGCAGGAAATCCCTGTGTTAGCCCTGAGGAACCGGCTGCTGCTGCTGCACCACATCTCGGAGCTCTTCTGTCCTTGCATCCCCATGTTTGACCTGGAGGGTTCTCTCGATGAAACTGGACTCGGGCCTTCTGTTGGGTTTGATACTCTACGAGGAATTCTCATATCCCAGGGAAAGGTACTCTAGTAGCAGTCTTTGTTGTAGGTGAAACTAATGTCTTCTGTAAATTTTAGCCCAGCAAACATTCCTGTGCTGGGAGTAGAGAATGAAGAATACAGCTCCTTCAGGCAGTGTTCATCGGGTGCCTACCAGGTGACTCTGTTCTGGGTACTTAGATTGTATCAATGAAATGTCTTCGGTAATAGTATGGTGCTGCATTTTTTCCCTTTCTGCCTCCCACCTTCCCAAACAGTTGGGGCAGGGAGGGGGGTGTTGTTACAAAATCAAGCTTTTGTTCATTGCATGGTCCTTTGCTTACCTGGCCTTGAGGCATTATGGCAAATCCCCACTGGCACAGGAAGGAAAAATAATTAGGTAATTGCTTCTCCCAGGGATGTCCAGCAGAGGGTGCCAAGAGTCACAGCTAGCTCAGATAAAAGTTCTGTGCCAGGATGTGTAAGGCCAAGTGATATATCAACAGGTGTGAATGAATGAGGACACCTGAAAGTCACCAGACAGGTTTTGACCCATCGACATTTTTAACAATTAGAGCTTCCTAGAAATGGAATGCCTGATTCAGAAATTAGGGAGTTCCCATTGCTGGAAGTCGCCAACTTTCTGGGAAGCAGCTTGACAGGATGATCTAGAAGGAGCTCGTTATTGTACGTCAGGGAGTCTTTGTATAGGGAAAAAAGTGTAGAAGTCAGATTGAGGAATCCTCTAAACCTGAAGAGTGTGTGATTCTATGACATATTTTGATATCAAGATTATGGTCTGCTCTTAATGATATCATAAAACTTAGATGTTTTGGAGTCCTGTCCAAACAGGTTTTTTTTTTAGGATGCTTTGTTTCCACTTGGCTATAACAACTTCTGCTCAGAGAGCTGAGCTCAAGCATTTTACTTTCATGTATCCCTGAGTGCACGAAGTGATAAGGATTGTGTTTAATGGTGAGGTCATCTATCTGGTGATGGGAGCAGGGACAAGTTGTGGGCAGGTAAAATTGATATGAAACTTAATTTCAACTATTTTTCAATATAAGAAGTACCAAACATGGTTACTTTGCCTTCTTTTTTTTAATTCTGAAAGTGGAAATGATAATAAGCAGTGGGGGTCGGAGCCTTTCCTTGATGGGAGAGAAAAAAGTGAGAGGTGGGGCACGTCCCATGTGTGAGCCAGGTGTGCATGGAGTCGGGTGCAGGGGGGACACGACCCAGCGTGGGGGGAGCCTGAGGCTGTGGGAGAGGAGGGAGCACTGCGGACAGCTGGAAGCAGCAGGGAATATGCAGGTGCCTCTGTTCTCCTGGGTATGGGGAAGGACCAGCCTGTGCTGGAGAGGCTGGAGTGGTGTTGGGGTGACTGTGGAGAGGCAGGAGGGTTTATTACCTCTGAGTTAGAATACTGAAAAGGGCACTCCAGAAGGGCTGGGTGGGCCTGCAGTTCAGAGGAAAAGTTGGGTGCTCGCATGTCCGCGGCGTGGTGGTGCGGTACCTGCTGACACCCTCTCTGGGTCTCCTCCCATCTCGGGGCTTCCTCCTTGGGCTGCTAACAGACCTCGCCTCTGCCTTCAGGGATTGGAGTTATTAGGCTCTGACCTGGGAGAGAGGCTCAGCCTCTGCCGAGGGCCCCTTGTGCCCTCATGGGACCCCCCACAACTCTGGAAGAGGAAACGATCCTTTACCTGGCAAAGAGAGCTGGGAGCCCCATGGGTGGTACTTCCTTAGAGTGTCTTAAGTCCCTTTCCTCCTACCATTGGCATGGCTATGCACTGCTTCCTGCATCCCGTCCATATAGGTATGGCCAGCCTGCCTCCTCCTGGGTGATGTCAGAGTCCTCACTGTGGCACCCATGTTCAGGCTGTGCCCCTTTCTCTGTGCTAGCCTCCTCCACCCTGGGCACTCCAGGACTGTGTGCATTCATGTTCCCTTTTCTGTTTTGTCTTCCCCATCCCCATCCTAGGCCCGGCTTGTTTCACAGGGCTCCCTGACCCTGCAGCTGCTTTGTGGTCAGCGAGTAGCTTAACGTCAGGCCCTGTCACTGGACGACTTGTGCTGTGGCACAGGAACCTTGGCTTTCCAGACCTAAGGCAGAGCAGGTGCTTGCTGGCCCTGGCTTACCTGCTCTGTGCCCAGCACATGCTGGGTACCTCCAGACAGCCAGGGACCGCATCAGGCCAAGGCGCTTCCTGAGGGTACCTTGCCCCTGCCCGGCTATCCAGCCTGTACGCATCAGGGCCAGGCCATGCCCCTGTGGCCACTCAGCTTGAGAGAGTTGGCAGTTTCCTATTCTTAAGGAAGTCTTACTTTCAAAAGAGATTTTAAAGAAAGATATTGCATGATTTGTGTATGGATGATGCTTTCTATGTTAGATTCTAAATTTCGTCTGTTTGGCGTGTTTTAGGAGGCGGCTTTCCGAAAAGTGGTGCAGGCAACTATGGTGCGAGATCGTCAACACGGTCCTGTTGTGGAGTTGAATCGAATCCAGGTAACACGTGGAGACTGTCCTTCAAGCCAGACAGTCTTAGAAGGAATGCCTTTCTGGGTGTGAGCCTGGGTGGGAACAGAGGGATCACAGCCTGCCTCCCGTGTGCCCTGCTTTAGAGAGCACATGCACCTTCCCCTTTGGTGCTTCCTGTGTATGATGTCCCGTGATGCCGAGGCTTCCAGGTAGTAATGTAAATGCTTTTCTTTATAACAGAAGTAAGAAAGATTTCTCTTAGGTAGCCCAAAAGCACAAATACGTACAGATAACCAAGAAAAGGAAAACAAAAATCAGCCATATTTCCCTCACACAGTGGTAACGGCTGCTGTTACATTTGGGGGCATGTATATGTTTGTTATAACCAAAACCGGGTCACTCTCATTTGTAACTTGCTGTTTTTCCAATTTAATGCATCATGAGCACCTTTTGCGCCATAGAGTAGGGTTCTGTGGGGTTGTGTATAGCAGCAGCCTGCTCTTCTCTTGGAAGGATGTATCATAGTTTCCTCTGTCAGATTCCTCTGGTGGGGTCAGGAGGCTGTACCCACTTTTCTCTGATGCAGGCAAGGCCATCTGCAGTGTGTCCTCTGTCACTCGTTCGGTTCCTGGAACAGTCACAACAGCTCACTTTCACTCTCCAGTGCTGATGGTTTTCTTTGCCAATTTAATAAGCTAGAATCACTAGTACTGTCTCATGGTAGTAATCAAAGAAACAAAAAGTAGGCCGTTTTTGACTTTATACTGTTGCCAAGTGTACATAAACTTACAGTTTAAAAGTGAATCACAAAAAACAGGGCCTGGCCGCCGGTTGTGATCGCGTGCAGCACTTGACCTTCGCTGCTCAGTGAAGTTTGCCTTGCCTCTTGGAAACAGAGAGCCATGAAGAACAAATCTTTTGTTCCTGCACCTTTGCATTAACACATGATTTTACCCTGATGTCGATTACATGACTAGCAGTCTTTTTAGAGTTGTACTCGGGGGCATCTTGAATTAAGACATGAAACTCTCGTCCTTTGTTGGACAGCACATGTGACCACATTGATGGAACTGGTCTCTTCACTGACGTCAGAGTATCTAACGCTGAGCTGTAGGTCAGTCAGCCACTTCCAAAAATAAATGGTTGTTTAATTAGGTTCATAAAAAAGCTTTTATTGCCTCACCTCAGATGATCGTTTTGGTTTGCTCTGCATCATTAGGTTGTGAACGCTGAAGTTTATGTGTATGGGAAGAAGCGATTGAGTGCTCCTGGTCACATCTCCACCTCAGCAGGGCACCCTGGTTCTGGGCCAGGGGTTTTTGACTTGGGTGGTCACACCTGGGGGCTCCAGGTGCCAGCAAAGCCTTAGTGGTCTGGAGCCCAGGCCAGGCACACCTGCTTCTGTCTTTTTCTCAGACCTTTAAGAGGTTATCGTGTGCTGCATATTTCTTTCCTATACATCTGTAGAGCACCAGCTCGTGCTGTGAAAATGGTGAATACGTATTTGAAAGAGTGAAGTGGATAGACAGCAGACAGATATACCAGACCTTCTTAAGAAGCTGTAGACAGCTCACAGCACCATGTGCAGTGTGGAGTGATGTCTGGGGACTGCTCCATGCAGCCACAGCCTTGGGCACTGGAGCCAGGGGCCCTGCAGTTCAGGGTATCATGCCCTCCTGAAGCTAGGAATTTTTCCACAAATGAGGAAACAAGTGTTTTTCTGACTAAAAATAGAATATGGGGAGAAAACGTTTGGTGAATCCAAGGTGAGCACAGGACACCATCACTGAGCTGGCCACGACTGCAGGGATCAGCTCAACTTCAGCCTCTGCATGGGGATGCCAGGGAGGGGCTTGCAGACCTGGCTGTAGAAAGAGTTCCAGAGGTACCAAGACTTCGGTCGCCTTCCTGGAGAGGGTGTGTGTGTGTGTGTGTGTGTGTGTGTGTGTGTGTGTGTGTGTGTGTGTGTGGTGAATTTGATTAGTTTCATAATAGGGTCTGAAAATCATTGTACATAAAAACATTTAATTAGTTTTAGGTTTATTATAGAATTAATGCAGCCTCGTTTCTGAAAATTTAGAAAATTCATATCAAAGACAGTAAAAGTCACCTGTGTTCCCGTTGACTGGAAGAAGCATTGTCCACACACGGGTGTGTCTCCGTGGGGTTGTAACTGCACTCACAGGGCCATTGTTTTCTGTAGAAACCAAGGACAGTCAGCATCTGGTAGCTGGCACTGTCTGTGGAGGAGAAGCAGCCCCATAGTTTGGAGTGGGAAACGTGACGAGCATCTCCCTTCACGTGACCGTGGTGGCACTATGGACACGGTCCTCTCCTTCTGTAGCTCAGTCTCCTCCAGGGGCAATCGGTACCTTAAAGCATTGCTGTGAGGTTAAAGGAAATGGCATTTGTGAACATGCAGCCAAGTGTGTGGCACATAGCAAAGTCCATTCTGCAGGCACCAGCTATTTTTATCATCATTCTTCTTACATTTTTAGTCTTGGTTTTGGTAATTTGTGCTCTAAGGAGAATTATCTGTTTAAACTCAACCTAGACCTCACTTAAAGTGAGTTAAGGAGGATGAGGGTTTTACAGGAAGAGTTAACATAAAAATATATTCTTATGACCATTTTTTCTCTAGCTTCATTTTGACATCATTTCAGACTGAGCTTTCCAGATGATTCTGAAGCACAGCCTAGAATACAAACTGGCATGAGCCAAATCCATGCTGATGTAACAGCCTTAAGGCCCTTGGTCTAATCTTAGTTCGAAAATCTTAGCTTAAGATGAGAGCTATGGGCACACAAAGTGGCTGTCCTTGTGGGGGAGACTCAGTGCCCCGGGGTTGGACATGGGATCAGTGCCATTGAATAGATGAGGAGAGGGAGGTATCTCGCTGGCCAAGGTGGTCTTCAGAGCCATTTGGTGTGAATCTTTGAGCGCTGAGAATCTGTCGTAGTCTGCTATGAGGGCCACTCTTGGAGTCCTGGTGTCTTGTCATGTGGTGCTCACAGCAGGTAGTGAAGTAGTTGGCGGCCGTTAAGGTTATGGAGTATGAAGATAATCTACCTAAGTGTGGTGTCGCTGGGTGGGGGCCCAAGGTGTTCAGAGTGGAGCTCTGTGGTCGGCAGGGTGTGGCTGTGCTGCCTGCTCACATGTGGGGCAAGGGCCCTGGGGAATTGGTCATGGGGTTGGTCACTTCCATAGGCCCTTTGCTGGGTTTGCTTTTTTTGCATTGCTGGGGTGTGGGCTGGCTGGGCTCAGGCTCCGGGCAATGATCCCCTCCCACAAGCAGAACCAGGGAGTGAAGGCGCAGAGCAGGCAGGAGGTCATCCCAGCTGCGTGCTTTCCACCAGCAGTGGTCATGCGATTCTTTCTCCTCTCCAGGTCAAACGCTCGAGAAGCAAAGGTGGGTTAGCTGGCCCCGATGGCACCAAGTCTGTCTTTGGGCAGATGTGCGCCAAGATGAGCTCGTTCAGTCCTGACAGCCTCCTGCTCCCTCACCGTGTCTGGAAAGTCAAGTTTGTGGGTGAGGACTTGGTGGGCACTGGAGTGCCTCTGGCCCCAGGAGGCAAAGACTGTGAGCCTGCAGTGGGTGGGCAGAGGGCACGAGTGTTGGTGGGGTGGCCTGCGTGGGCTGATTCTCCCTTCCCTCCAGGTGAATCTGTGGATGACTGTGGGGGCGGCTACAGCGAGTCCATAGCAGAGATCTGTGAGGAGCTGCAGAATGGACTCACCCCCCTGCTGATTGTGACACCCAACGGCAGGGATGAGTCTGGGGCCAACCGAGACTGCTACCTGTTCAACCCTGCCGCCAGGGCACCCGTGCACAGCAGCATGCTCCGCTTCTTGGGTGGGTCTTCTCAGTTGCTTGGTTGTATTGATGTGGTTCATGCCCACTCATGAGTTAGTTTAGTGTCTGCTCTCTGTTTTGGGAGTGATGGTAGATATTTTGAATATCTATTTTTAACTTTTGAGATTCTTACCAGTGAAAATAATTTCTAGCATTTATTTTATGTTTCACCAACATTATGGAAGTGGGAAGGTGCTGTGGTTGACTTCCTGTCTAGCATTGAGGGCTTGGTAGTGGTGAGCTGTTGGGAGTTGTGCAGTGTCTGATCCTGGCACAGTGGTGAGACTTACACAGCCAGGCAGTCCGAGGCTGCATGCTAGGGACTGGAATATGTCTTTGGCAGTCAGGGGAATCTGGAGTACTGTTTCTGCATCTTAACTGTTTGTGAAACTCAGGATATGTGGGGATTGGGTGCTCAGCAGTTGGCCAGTCTCTCCCTGTTTGGTTAAGGGTCAGTGCAGCACTGCCTGCACCTCCCCAGCAGAACACCCACCACTTGGGAGAAGCTCCAGCTCTTTGCTTTGCCATCAGAGGAACAAGAATTGGCCTTTGTGTGGCTTACGCCTGTGTGTAGAAAGAATGTGAAGAGTTAGAGACTTGTGTCATAGGAACAAAAAGAAACAAGAACTTTAGCGTAGGGAACAGTTTTGAGGATGGACCCAGGTCTGTGGACTTGGGTGTTGTTGGTGTAGAAGGCACTGAGGCCTCAGCGTGAAGCTAGTGTTCCCCGTGGGGTTTCACTTGTCCCTGTCCCTTGTGCTTGGTGGTCAGGTGTGTTGTTGGGCATCGCCATCCGGACCGGGAGCCCCCTGAGCCTCAACCTCGCTGAGCCCGTCTGGAAGCAGCTGGCTGGGATGAGTCTCACCATCGCAGACCTCAGCGAGGTAACTTGTCCAGCAGTGGGGGTCCCCTGAGGTCTGGCCTGGTCCGCACTCCTGGGTGATGCTGAGTCTGCTGCCCGCCGACTACCTTTAAGTGGACATGAGGCTGGTTCATTTCTGAAACTCGGCAGGCCATCTACTCTGTGGAGCTTTAGAGCATACACAGCCTGGTCAGATAAGAAAGCTCACTGTCCTTCCTGGGGAGAAGCTGAGCTCTCGGCAGCCCCGAGTTGCCCTGCCCTTCGGGGCACAGTGAAGGAGCTGGCACGAGCCGGTTGCTGCTGCTTTCTCAGCAGTTTAGAATTCTGAATTCTCTCCTCAGCTCCTTGGTGAAGCTCTGCCTTGCTGCTGCTTTCTCTATTTCTTGATGCGTGCAGTGCACGCAGATGCAGACCGGGGCCCATGCACCTGGTGTGCCTGCCACGTGGGGACAGCCCTGATTCAACATGTGGGCTCTCTTTTCCTTGAAAGGTCGATAAAGATTTTATTCCTGGGCTCATGTACATCCGCGACAATGAGGCCACTTCGGAGGAGTTTGAGGCCATGAGCCTGCCCTTTGCGGTGCCCAGCGCCAGTGGTCAGGACGTGCAGCTGAGCTCCAAGCACATGCACATCACCCTGGACAACCGCGCCGAGTATGTCCGACTGGCAATAAACTATAGGTTCGTGGCCATCTGTCCTCAGTTGCTTTGACTTAATAAATAACAAAAGTAGCAGAAAATGGCTGCTTGTAGATCTATGTGTTTCAGAAGTGTCATATACAGTAAAATGCTAGTGGATTTGGCTCCAGCTATTGCTGATTGTAGTTACGATGCTTATTTTGTGATCAGGGTCAGAGTATTTATTATTCTAGCCTGAAATTACTGGCTCAACTAGACTTCTGAGGTAAATAAAATCCACCCTTTTGGGGACTGACTACGCAAAGGCCGCAGGGCCCATTTCCACTCTCTGTGTGTTCTCTGGAGCTCTCCTGGGACAGGGCTGTGTCTGGAGTTGTCTTGGACCCTTCCTGGCTGTGTGCAAGGCACAGAACAGCCTCTGCCAGGTCTGAGTGTGCATGGCCTTCAGGCGCCCTGGGTCAGGCATGGTGTGGTTGCTGCTGCAAGGCAGGTCATGGCTTCCATCGTCCCGACATCCTGTGTCCTCCAAAAGCACCTGTGAGGTGTCTGGACGAAACCCCACATGCCAGGTGGGCTTTGCTTGCTGGGCTGTGCTTGGGCTTGGTCCTGGCAGCTGTCCTGGGCTGTTCTGTGCCTGGTGTCATGTCTGCCTTGGAGTCCCAACCCTGCAGTAACACAGCGTCTGTCCTGCGATCAGCATGGTGTCCCGGGCCTGGGGCAGACAAATATGCTCTCTACCATCCAGATTCTGCAGCATCTGGCTCTGGTCCTTCCTGGGTGTCCAGTGGATGCTGAGAATTGTTGGTCATTAGGGTTACATTCTGTCTGCAAGGCTAGGTGAAGTCGGTATTTGGAGAAGCTCTGTCACAGCCATCTGCAGAGCACAGTGTGGCTCATCAGGAGCCACTCTTCCCTATCTTTCCAGTGGGGAGTGTGCGGCCACAATGCTGTGTGGCGAGGCTTGGTGTGAGCACCAAAGACAGGGAGTAAAGTGAGCTTTTTCTTTCAGACTCCATGAATTTGATGAGCAGGTGGCTGCCGTTCGGGAAGGAATGGCCCGTGTCGTGCCCGTCCCCCTCCTTTCTCTGTTCACTGGATATGAGCTGGAGACAATGGTATGTGACTCCCACATGGTGCTTCCCTGGAACCCACTGATCAGTGTCACTAGTTAATGTCTTAGTTAAAACTTACATTTGGAAATCTAAGATATGTCCATGCGTGTGGACATACCCATCCCCACATGAGGTTGTCCACCCGGGCACCCAGGACAGGTGAGAGAAAGAAGTGTAGATCCTTGCTGAAATGAAAGGCGTTGGAAGAGTCGCCAGCCCTGATGGAGTGTCCTCCCACAGGTGTGTGGCAGCCCGGACATCCCACTGCATCTTTTGAAGTCGGTGGCAACGTATAAAGGGATTGAACCTTCTGCACCCCTGATCCAGTGGTTCTGGGAGGTGATGGAGTCCTTCTCCAACACAGAGCGCTCCCTTTTCCTCCGCTTTGTGTGGGGCCGGACAAGGCTGCCCAGGACCATCGCTGACTTCCGGGGCAGAGACTTTGTCATCCAGGTAGGCACCTGGAGTGCTGGGCTGACACCAGCTGACAATGACATGCTTCTGACACATGAACCTACAGCAGATTGAAAAATGAGTCTCTCATGTCTTCATAGAAACGAAAATGGAAAACACTCAAATTTTCTGATTGATGGCTTAGATTTTATGGTTATAGATCTTAGGTACCACTGCCTACATTTTTTTTTTTTTTAAATAAAAGATGACCGGTAATGGGATCTCAACCCTTGGCTTGGTGTTGTCAGCACCACGCTCAGCCAGTGAGCCAACTGGCCATCCCTATATAGGATCCGAACCTGTGGCCTTGGTGTTATCAGCACCGCACTCTCCTGAATGAGCCATGGGTTGGCCCGACTGCCTACTTTTTTAAAACTTACCTGACCACCACCAGAACATACTGCTATTATGTCAGCATGTTCTAGATTTTGAGCACACATGTTGAATCAGGTGTATCACCAAGTCGTATGCTCCTTACTGAGAAAAATGAAACCACTCATCAAATTGAGAACAAGAGTTTTGCTTTGGGTTCTAATTTGTGGTCAGAAATAAGCACCTGCTGGGTCACTGAGGTAAAGTGACCTAACACCTCACTCTCTTCTGGGACCCTGGTAGCAATACTTTGGGGGTGATGGGTCGGGCGGTGGGTCCACTCTCCCCATCATGCTTGGAAGAATTGGGGTACGGCTCCTTCCCAAGCACAGCCTGACCCATGTTTCTCAGCAGGGTTAGAAAAGTATCCATCTTTCAGGGAGATCTTTGAGAGCACATGTAGTTTTTCTCTCAAAGGGTAGGTAATTCCTAGTTTTTGTCCATAATTCTTGCTTCTCCCTAGTATCTTAATTTGTAGTGGCTGGAAGTGGGCCAGTGGGCTCACAGAGAACTTCCCCACGTGGGCAAGTGCTGCTGAGCTCACTGCCCACTCGCCCCAGGCCAGACACCAGCCAGGCGGGGGTCCCAGCCATGCCAACAAGGGGGTGGAGCCGTGGAGTCCTCTTCACAGGATCATGAGTAAACAAGGTCATATTATAACACGATAACTAATTGCTAGTTTTTACTGCAAGTCCTAGGAATGAGTGCTCCTTTTTATTTCTAAAATTGGCTAGATTATATGTTTTCTGGTATTTTGTTATTCTTAGCCAAAAATATGATAATTTCTGTAAGACTTAAGAGTCTAACAAACACGATAAAATAGACTTGCAGTTTTAACTATCCTCATACCTAGTCTCTGATTATTTAATATTTTTCATAAACAGGTATTGGATAAATACAACCCTCCTGACCACTTCCTTCCTGAATCCTACACCTGTTTCTTTTTGCTGAAGTTACCCAGGTATTCCTGTAAACAGGTGCTAGAGGAGAAGCTGAAATATGCCATCCACTTTTGCAAATCCATAGACACAGATGATTACGCTCGCATAGCCCTCACAGGAGAGCCAGCTGCCGATGACAGCAGTGATGACTCGGATAATGAGGATGTGGATTCATTTGCTTCAGATTCCACACAAGATTATTTAACAGGACACTAAGATGCAGAAATGCCATCACAAAACGAGAGCCTGAGCAAGAGGGCAGAGTGCCTGGTGTGTCTGCTGAGAAATAGCAGTCCTCGAAATGTGTGGGAGGTGGGGGCAGAGAGACAGGGGCTGTGTGACCAGCCTGTGCTCGTGGAGCACTGAGTGGTCGCTTGACGTTTATTTTTGGGACTTAAGAGTCTTCTCACCCATAATGCTGCATTACATGTAGGACTCTGTGTTTACTAAAGTGTGTAAATGTTTATATAAATACTGAATTGCAGCATCCTAAAAATGAATAAAGCCTTTTTACTTGTGGGTGCAATAGATTTTTTTCTTCCTTTCAAGTGTCGTGAATCATCTTGCTTGTATATTGGAAATACTGTGCAACAATTAAATCATATTATAAATATTTCAGCTAATTTTGTTTATTAAAAGCTTTTTGAACATTAAATGATCAGTATTACTTGAATGCATCCAGAGGGTATTTAAGCCAAAACGAAAAACAAAAAGGCCATTTAGTTCTCCCTCTTCTCCCCAGGTGTGCCATTTCAGCATATGCATTATGTAATTTGAATGGAGGCCTTTCTGTGAACAGTATCATAACTTCTATCATGGAAAGTGTACTATATATGATGTTTGTGTCTACATTTTAATTCCCTATAAATAAAACATCTGTCACAAAACTGTAAGCTGAGCTTTCTTAACCAGTTAGACTAGTACTGGTGGACATGCTACAATAAAAAATTGTCTTTGATACATCAATAGTTTATCCATTCCAGTCTAATTTAGACTTTCTTGGTTACCAAAAGCAAACTCAGGTGACAAAGGACAGATCATTAGGAGAATGGAAGGTTCCCAGGGGAACAACTGGTATCAGGGACTGTGGGGCCCAAGAGCTTCAGAGTCCCCGCCTCTGACCTCCTACCCAGCCCGTCCATTTGCAGTATTGTTCCTGTTCCCGTGGCCTGGGCTCACTGGTGCCTTTGGTTCAGTTGGCCACAGGGCAGGTTTTGAGCTGCTTGTGTATAGTAAACTCTGCAAAGGGAGGAACTGAGAACCGGGTAGGAACATTGGCTGACAGGTCTAGTGCACTAGAACTTGACTTAAATGGTACCAGATCAAGGCAAAAGTATGTATTTCATGTTGGGAGACAGTTTCTTTATACAGGGACAGAATGTTTAGCACTGGCATAGAAGATCTAAAGAGTGAAAGTTTTTTTCTGGGAAATTACCCATATCCAAATAGTCGAGTGTCAAGATCTAGTCTTATTTTTCACCTTGGCTCAAAGTTTCCATAAGCGGCATGGTATTTCTTTTTTTTTTTTTCTCAACCACTAACTCTTTTGTTGTCAGCTTTTGCTGCATAACAAAATTACCCCCAAAGTCAGGGACATGCAAGAAGCAACATCTATTTCTCATGCTCATGGCATGGCTGACCTTGGCTGGATGCTCTGGACTTCAGGTTAGGTAGGGCTGTGCTCACAGGCCTCTCTTGTGGACCTGGGCACGTCTCATCATGGTGATGACACAGGTGCAGGAGGGCAGAACCACACAGTCACTTTCACCCACATTCTGTTGGCCAAAGCCAGCCATGTGGCCAACCCCAAAATCAGTGGACCGGCAGATGTATTCTGCCTCTAGAACTGCGCTTCTCAAAGTCTTGTCCGAGGACAACGGGGGTTCTTGAATCCCTTTCAGGACGTCCACAAGGTCCTCCCTTTCCAACTAAGTATCTGCATGAGGCCAGATTTTCTTCACATCCTTCTACCAAAACATACCACAATATGTGGCCCGCAGAAGTGGAAATGAGAACCCAGCTGTCTTCTATTAAGGCGGACGGTGAAGAGAGGAATGTCAGTCAGTGCCATTCTTCTCACTGCGGTTTTCTGCTTCAGAAAAATTTCAAGATTATATTCATGTTCGCAAGTAATGGGTTATCTTAAATGTATTAAATATTTTCAGTTTTAATTGTCAGTGTGGTAACTGTTGATAGATACAACCCAGATAGAAATTACTGAGAATCCTGTAAGCTCTTAAGTGTATAAAAGGGTCCCAAGACTAAAACTGCTGCTCTGGAGAGAGGACACACTAAGCCACAGCAGAGGTGTGGGACACAGTGTTGCGACAGTCACGCTTCTGCTTTTTCTTGTAGTGTCAGGAGCAATTGCCTAAGACATACTCCTCTGAGTTCCTTTTCTTTTTCTTTTTTTTAAACTTCAGGATTACTGGAGGATCGTCTATTTCCTTCTCTTATACCACTCTATTCCTACTCAAAAGGAATAAAAAAGAGGGGCTTTGCTTTTCACAGTAATGGCTTCTTCATCTTTGCCCAAGAGGACTCTGAACAGGGACATGTCGTCTTCAGTCTGACTCTTCACTCTCAGGAATTCTTAAACTCACTAACCCTCAAGTAATGGCTCACTTTGGTAGGTCAAAATTTGTGCAGCAGACCCTATTAAAGGGGAACTGTAGGAAGGACAGACCCAGCTGTGCTAGAGTCACACTGACAAAGACTCCTTAATTGTGTTGGGAGGTTCCACCTGCTGACTGTGGATTGATTAGGCAGTTTTTTCTTACTGGCAGTGGGATGTGCACTTGCAACGTGTGCGGAGCTGCAGTCCTGCCCAGATTTACAAGACCTTCATACTGTGCTTCTGGCTTGCTCTGCATAGGTGGTCCCCAACATTGTACCTGAGGGGTGACTGTCCCCCTCCTCTGGGACTTGCTCGAGGGGCAGGCCTGGTACTGCCTCTGCTGCTGCCTGCCTGCTCAGCAGTTACCTTCTCATCTTTGTGCACAGCCCGCGTGACCCTCACCTGTGTGTTATCTGCTCTGCAGCTGCTTCTCCTTCCTGAGCCCACATGCAAGCTCCTTGAACTGCAGTGGGGTCCCACACACGTGTCTCTGCCCTGGGATCAAGCCAGTGCACGCAGACCCCAGTGTGGAGGACTGTGAGGTGGGCAGGGAGTGGGCCATCCCCCACTCTGCAGCTGGATCTAGGACCTCAGAAGTGTCCTCTGGCTCTGTTGTCCCTGGAAGGCACTTCACGAGGCCTTGGCTGGGTCAAAATCTGGCAGGCCCACTTCTGGAAGGCTCGACATCTGTAAGCAGACACACCTGCCTGAGTGGCTGTTTGAGCAGGAGAGGATGGGCAGCAGTATGTGGGCAAGTCCACCAGTAAACCACGCTGCCCGGCAGTTTTCACTCATCAGCGAGGATGGCTGCCGGCATTACCGTGACCACTGGATGCTGCAGGCTTTCAGGGCTCACCCTCCCACACAGCCAGCATCCAGGAATAACAGAGTGCTTCCTAAGTCCCTGCGCTGTGAGCTGTCTTGACTTGCAAAAAAACAACAAAAAATAAAACACCCTCATTTGGGGAAGCGAAGGGATAAGTCTGGGGCATGACATTCCTTTCTGAAATGCCGAAGGTCATTGTGAAATCCCCCTTGAGTTGCTATGAATCAACTTAGTGGAGCAATGGGCTCCCTGAGCCCTGGGACACCTGGGCCCACCTCACAGCCTGACTGTTCACATGTGGACTGCAGTGTCCCCTCCACACAGGATTAACCCACCAAAGCAGCAGTGCGTTTGACATTCCTTGGAGTTTAACTCTGCCCTGTGGCCCGGGGTCTTGTGATCCTTCCTAGTTCTCGTTCTTAGCATTAACATAAGCCTGATTAATCACTCATTTTTGTGTAGGGAAATGCACACTTCACAGCAAAACTCTTTGCTAAGGCGCGTCTCGTCACTAGGAACCTCCCAAGCTCCGCTGGGGCGACAGGGCCAGAGTGTCCTTGGCCTCCTGCACTGGCTCTTGCTGGCACATCATGGTGGCCATAGGCATTTGGCGTTACCTTGTCCCTGGGAAAGCACCTGTGGCTGGGTGCTTCCCGCACCATGCACACTGGTGGGAGTGCCAGGGCCTGGGTCCCCTCCTTCCCCTGAGGGACAATAATGTTTTGATGCAGTGATATCCTAGTCATTGCCTGACATGCAGGACCCCACAGAGGAGCAGGCCCGAGGGTGGGATGCTCGCTGGCTGGCATGGGCACAGCCGAGTGTGGCGTGTGTCTTGGCACCCCCCCTCCTGGGTGAGGGGTATGATGGACGGCACACACATGCACACATACATACACATGCATGCACACACGCAGCAGGGAGCCACAGTGAGGGTGGGAGCGGAGGACGCTGGGCCCCCGAGAAAGAAACAAGGAAGGCCCTGAAAGGCCTGCCCTGGGATCCCACCGGAAAGTAGGAGGTCTGGGCCCTGGGCCATCCCTGGTCACCGCCAGGGGCATGCTGCGGTGGCCAATGACACCAGAAAGGGCCAGGCCTGCTGGCAGCCAGTGTGGCCATTGAATCCTAACCTGGGTCGCTGGGGTCTCACTCCTCAATGTCTGCACTTTAAAAATTGAAGGATGCCATCATGTCTGGAAACTAGCTGCACAGGATCGCAGGTCTTTCACCCAAGCTGGGTCTCTGAGTGCCAGTGAGATGGCTTTCCTGAGACACCAGGACGCGAACTGAGGGCTGTGCCACTCCATGGCAGGCCGGACAGGGTGCACCCGGCTCCAGTTCTCCTGGAGGTGAACAGAACTCTGAACCCACACTCCCAACTCACCCAGTGTGCAGAGAAAGAGACAACAGGGTCCAGGGTCACACGTGCCATCACTGTGTTTATCCCCAACCTCTGGTGTCCCAATCACCCAGAGCCAGCCCTCCCCTGCCCCCACACACCTCAGGATCCCTAAGAACTTTCCCGAAAACCTCGTGGGGAGACAGAGTGGAATTCAGGGGCTTGCCTGAGAGCAGGTGCCCTCATCACTCTCCGTCATCACTCATCACCCCTCATCACATCCATCGGGACCCCATGCTTCCTCCCAGGCGCCCTCCCTGACACCGACACCTGCCTCCCCTCCAGGCCACAGAACCTGCCCTTCAGGACACGCCCCTGAGGAGGATGCCTGTACATCATCTTTATTCCTGAGCCGGCCCTGGAGTGTCCTCCCATGCAGCCACTTTTCAAAGGTTTTTTATTTCTTTCCCTATACATAACTAGGACTTCTTATTTCCCTCTAGCTCATTTGAAGAAAAATAGACATCATTGATTAGAGCAGTTGTGGGCTCACAGCAAAACGATCAGAAGGTACAGATTTTCCATATGAATCCGCCCCTGTCCACCCACACTGTCCACATCCCCTTTCAGGGTGGTGCATTTGTTACAATTGATGACCTCCAGTGACACATCATCACCTGGAGCCCATAGTCTACATCAGATTCACGTGTGATGATGGGTATCCACCATCATAGTATCATACAGAGTAGTCTCACTGCCCTGAAATCCTCTCTGCTGCACCCGCTCATCCCTCCCTCCCCCAACCCCTGCCAACCACTAGCAATCTTTGTATTGTCTCCATAGTTTTGTCTTTTTTAGAATGTCATATAGTTGGAATCATAGAGTGTGTAGCCTTCTCAGACTGGCTTCTTTCACTTAGTAGTATGTATTTAAGGTTCCTTCATGTCTTGTCATGGCTTGATCATTCATTTCTTTACAGCACTGAATAAGTAGTATTCATTGTCTGCGTGTACCAGAGTATGTTTTCTTTTGTTTTAACTTCTCAGTATACATTTTACTAGAGTATGTTTATCCATCCTACTGACGTACATCTTGGTTGCTTCCA